TAAAAAAGTAATAAAGGAGAAATCTTCCAATGGGGACACTAGTTTGGTGCCCGGGGGATCCCTAAGGAATTCTCTTAATTTTCAGGGATTTCCTCTCACTTCCTGCTTGGTGATGAAGACAGGAAATGAAGGGAAATCTCCGCAATGGGACACAGATGGTGAAAAAAAAAAAATTGAACAAACCTGGGTAGGAGGCACACGTTCACCCCCCTGGGTGTGCATGTCATTGATTCATGCCAGGGAAAATGCTGATCGGCGCAGGGGAAAGACAGAAAGATCTGTGATGGTAAAACAACACACGATCCTCTAAAACCGGACAGTTAGGCAATTTTTGTCAGTTTTTTTGTCTCGCCGGCAAAGCAGGGAATAAAAACCGGCACTTTGCCGTTATTAAAAAAAGCGACCTCACAGTTAACTACACGATTTAAACCCCGTGTTTAGGCCACACTGGTTAACCCTGTTGATTGCCCCAGATGTTAAACGGCCATTCCTTTTTACTCAGCTTGTCATTAGTATCAGTATGTCAGTGAATATTAAAATTTAAACACTAGATCACTGTCTTAGTTGTCATTCTATCCAGATGTCAGTTCAGTTCCCCCCCAAAGTGGTCAGATTGCCCACCACAACTGTCGTAGTCCCGCTATTAAGGTTGCTGATCGCCACCATTACTAGTATAAAAAAAAAAATACAAATTCCAGTATATATCCCATAAGTTTGAAGAAGCTATAATTTTCACAGCAGAAACCAATCAATTACTATATTTATTGGGATTTTCTTTTTTACCAAAGACATGTGCAGAAGTACATTTATGGCAAAAATTTATGAAGAAATCTGAGTTTAAAAATTTTTTTTATTGGATATGTTTTTATAGCAGAAAGTAAAAAAACATTTTTTTTTCAGCTAGATTTTTTGGATTTTTTAGTTTATAGCGCACAAAAAAACCCAACCTAGAGAGTGATCAAATACCACTCAAACAAGAAAGCTCTCTTTGTGTGAAAAAAAATGATATAAATTTAATTTGGGTACAGTGCTAACATGACCGCCATCAATTGTTATTTAAAGTAGTGCAGCGCCTTATAGGAAAAAAAAGGTCTGGTCGGGAAGGGTGGTCGCAAATCTCCTGGAAGGGCAAGTGGTTAAGCCAGATTTATATATTTTTATAGTTTGTGTGGAACGGGAAATAACTAAGAAATAATTAAAGAAACATGTCAAGAGAGAGAGAGTAGTCACCAGGAAAAGTAAAGGCGTAGTTCAGGAGATCTCCAAATGTTTAAGCAAAGGGGCCCTACTTTACTGTCCTGCAGATGTTTAGGGGGGTCGGCCGCATTGTGGCCAGTGAAAGTAAACAACCATTGGTGTCAGTGGGAGGAATAGTGCCCCATCATTGGTGTCAGTGGGAGGTAATAGTGCCCCATCATTGGTGTCAGTGGGAGGAATAGTGCCCCATCATTGGTGTCAGTGGGAGGAATAGTGCCCCCGTCATTGGTGTCAGTGGGAGCGGAATAGTGCCCCATCATTGGTGTCAGTGGGAGGAATAGTGCCCCATCATTGGTGTCCCAGTGGGGTAGGAATAGTGCCCCATCATTGGTATCAGTGGGATGAATAGTGTCTCATCATTGGTGTCAGTGTCCGGGCAGAATAGTGCCCCATCATTGGTATCAGTGGGAGGCAATAGTGCCCCCATCATTGGTGTCAGTGGGAGGAATAGTGCCCCATCATTGGTATCAGTGGGATGAATAGTGTCCCATCATTGGTGTCAGTGGCAGGAATAGTGCCCCATCATTGGTGTCAGTAGGATGGAATAGTGCCCCATCATTGGTGTCAGTGGCAGGAATAGTGCCCCATCATTGGTGTCAGTAGGATGAGGAATAGTGCTCCATCATTGGTGTCAGTGGGAGGAATAGTGCCCCACTCATTGGTGTCTGTGGGAGGAATAGTGCCCCATCATTGGTGTCTGTGGGAGGAATAGTGCCACCATCCATTGGTGTCAGTGGGAGGAATATTGCCCCATCATTGGTGTCAGTGGGAGGAATGGTGCCCCATCATTGGGTATTAAAGGGAGGAATAGTGTCCCATCATTTGGTATTAATGGGAGGAATAGTGCCCTATTGTTGGTGTCAGTGGCAGGAATAATGCCTCAAGGTGCCGGATAATAAAGGCAAGCAAAGGGCCACATCCGGCCCTCCAGGTTGCAGTTTGGGGACCCCTGGAATAGTTGAAATAATAACACACAGACTGTCAGGCAACACTCTCCCCTCTACTTAGTTCAGGAATTCCCAACTTGCAGTCTATGCTGCTGCTACCCTGTGATATTGTTAATACTACTTTCAGTCCTTGTGCCCTTTAATGGGCAATACTGACCACCGGGGAACCTTTTTTTAATTTTTATTTTATATTCAATAAGGAACAGGAAACGCACATCAGCAGGCCGACCCATCAGGGGTAAGGGCTGCAGGCAAACCCGAAACACCCCCACCAAACCAAGTACAGAACAATAGAACAATAGATACACCAAGTGGCAGTAACACATACATCCCATAATAGTTTTTCTGGCAAGCAAGATGGAGAATAGAACAATGGGATGCAGCATGTGGCTAGTGAACAATGGACAACCCCCCCACCCCACCTATACATGTCCTACAACAATATCAGGAACAGAGACACCCTGTACCCCTAACAGGCACAGCGTGGGTTACACATAAGAGGAATCTAGGGAGCTGATACAGGGGTCCTCCCACCCCCAAAAGTCACTCCCAGTCACAGTTGCTTTCTGTGAGTCAGGCTTAACTGTGTACGTTGAAACCCCATTACGGAGGAGGTTATCACCACACACCTCCTCTGTTCTATACCTATTAACACTAACTGATTTGAAACCTGTTAGTATCTTGTGTACCCCTACTTGTCAAACTGACCTGATAGCTCTGAGTTATTATTATACAGGATTTATTATGGCGCCAACAGTTTGCTCAGCGCTGTACAATCATAATGGGAGACAATACAGCAACAATACAGTTCTATAGAAGAGGGTTAGGAGGGCCCTGATCCTGGGAGCTTACAATCTAAGAGGGAGGGCTAGTGGTAACAAAAGGTAATATACTGTGGGGGATGGACTTGTAGGAGGAATAGAAGATTCAATTATTAGCTGATGGCAGGATAGGCTTACCCGAAGAGAAAAGTTTCGCAGAGATCCGCCTAAAAGTGAGTAAAGTTGCGATAGTCTGATAATTGGGGTAGAAAGTTCCAGAGGATATGGGGGGGAAGCTCTGGAGAAGTCCTGGCGAGACGAGCATGGGAGGAGGAGACAAAGGGAGCAAGAGAGTAGAGGTCGTGAGAGGAACAGAGAGGACTGTTTGGGTGATATTTGGAGGACAAGGAATTGGTGATGTAATTTGGGGGCGGAGTTATAAATGGCTTTATATGTTTTATTGTTTTTAAATGTTTGAACTTTATTCGTTTGGCAATGGGAAGCCCAGTGGAGGGATTTGGCAGAGAAGTATGGAGGACACTGAATGGGAGGCCAGTGGAGGGATTGGTAGAGAGAGGTGGGAGGACACTGAGTTGAGGTCCAGTGGAGGGATTTGGCAGAGAGGGTGGAGGACACTGAATGGAGGCCAGTGGAGGGATTGGCAGAGAGGGGTGTGGAGACACTGATATGGAGGCCAGTTGGAGGGATTGGCAGAGAAGGATGGAGGACACTGAATGGAGGCCAGTGGAGGGATTGGTAGAGAGAGTTGGAGGACACCTGGAGTGGAGGCCAGTGGAGGGGATTGGCAGCAGAGGAGGTGGAGGACACTGAATGGAGGCCAGTGGAGGGATTGGCAGAGAGGGGTGGAGGACACTGAGCTGGAGGCCAGTTGCGCAGTGAGATTGTGGCAGAGAGGGTGTGGAGGACACGTGAATGCAGACCAGTGGACCGGAATTGCAGAGAGGGATGACGGACACTGAATGGACGACCAGTGGAGGGATTGGCAGAGAGGGTGGAGGACACTGAGTGGTAGGCCAGATAGAGGTGATTGGCAGAGAGGGTGGAGGACTCTGAGTGAGCCAGTGAGGGATTGGCAGAGAGGGGTGGAGGACACTGAATGTAGACCAGTGGAGGGTTTGGCAGATACAGAACGGTTAGTAAGGTGGGTGAGTCGTGGCAGCAGCATTCATGATAGACTGAAGACTGGATGTTTTCTATGACACAACCCTATGGCTAAAAATGAATTAAAAAAAAAAAACACTTTCATGAATTGCAATACCTTGCTGGCTCTACATAAAATGTGGGTTTGTCTGTGTCCCCGTTGTGAAGATCTGACAATCACTTCCTGTCCCTAAAAGGAAGTGAGGAAAAAATCCTGGACCAAGAGAGGAAATCTCCCCCTTGCCCAAATCAATCCAAAGATGAAATTTATACTTTTGGTCCTGGATGTGTGATGTCAACCAACTTCCAAGCAGCCAGACTCAGGTTGCTGGTGGATGAACAAGTCCAGTCACCAAATGTGGGACACAAAATGCTGGTGGCTAAATGGGATTACATGGTGACAAGGAGCACAGCAGCTACCAACCCAAGGTAAAATAGGTGAGGCAACAGTTCCCTGACAGGCAGGTAAAGTGCTGAAAGGCTTAGATCCAGCGATGTCAAAACTGGCGGCCCTCCCAGCTGTTGCGGAAACTACAACTCCCATCATGCCTCAGCCCACCCCTTTGGAAGTCCTGCTTGTAACGCTCAATCTTGCAATGCCTCATGGGACTTGCTGCGAGGCTGCCAGGCTGACAACCCATGGCTTAGGCTGGGCCATACATTATAACAATTTTTCTGTTCAATTTCTGCCCATTTTCCTTTAGATTTAACCTTCAACTATGTATCGCAAGGCAACCGACCTAATTGGATACAATTGAAAGTGTTTGTAACGGAACCGACCCCAGATCTGCGCTTGGGTACTTCCGTTAGAATAGTACGCTTCCCCGTCCGAACACCGACCACAGACAACCACAGATTGGAATTAAACCAGGAAATAGACTACTTTATTTTAACACAGATAAAGCAAGATATATACATTCAAGGGAACAACCCCCCTCCCTGCATAATTGACACAGGGCTGCGGGGCAATCTACCTTTAGTAACAGGAGACACACCAGCATACAGTCCCAATCAGGAGGGAGGGCTGCTGAGACACCCCCCCACCAAGCCAATACACAAACACATACATCCCATATAATAGTTTGCTCCCAAGCAAGACACACAATAGAACAATGGGATGCAGCCACATAACATCAAACAATCAACAACCCCCCCACCCCCCCAATATTAGGACATATCGAACCGGTACCCCCTAACAGGCACAGGTGACTTCACACATAAAAGGGATATGGGAGCTGAGACAGGGGTCTCCTCACCTCTCCAAAGTGACTGTGTTCCATGGACCCCCCCCCGCCCAAAGTGACCCCCGCACATCACAGTGCTGTTTAGGTTTAGGGGGGGTTTGACCTCCTATTATATGGCTTTTGGTAAATCTAAAAGCAATATTCTCAAAAAATTGTGCACAGTGAGTGACTTTGGGTGGGGGGCCCATAGGAACACAAGCTCACTTTAGAGAGGTGGGGAACCCCTGTCTCAGCTCCCCATATCCCCTCCCTATGTGTAAGTCACCCTGTGCCTGTTTTAGGGGTATAAGACAGGTGATCTGTCCCTAATATTGTGTAGACACGTATAGGTGGGTTGGGGGTATGTTCATGGTTTACTGCCATATGGTGCATCCCTTTGTTTTCTAAAATAATAAATGCACATACGTTTGATCAGAAGGAGCCAGGCCAGCCCGGCGGCGGAGGACCCCCTCCATCCACCACCAAAACGACCTGCTGTCCTCCAGAATGCCGCAGGTCCCGACCCCGTGGGGGAGGACCTCGTCAACACTGGAGGAGGAGGAAGAGGTGGAAGAAGAGATGGCTCTTGACCCGGTCGGAGCCAATCTCTCCACCGACTGTCGACGAGGTCCTCAACGAGGTCCTCAACCAGATCGGACGAGCCAGGACAATTGGTCACAGCGGGCTGCAGAGGTCACTCCCCCCCCCTCTCCAGGGAGGTAAGTACAAGCCCCTGCCGACTAACAAAAACCCTCGATTCATCTCCTTCTCCTCATCACACATGCTGGCTGAGATCTCTAATCTTTTCCATTAATGTGCGAGGAGCATCAAGGATGCGTCTAGGAGTCAGAAAGACTGCTGACCTTTCTCTCCACACAGCAGAGTGATGTCTACATTGCCTTCAGGAGTGCACCCTTCCCCCTCTGAGGAGGTACACTCATTTGTCCTCCCAGTGACCCCACGTTCCATCCTACTGAGTCTGGGGGTGGCGATTGCAAGTCTGCAGGGGTATTCGCGGTTCTTATCAGGGCAGGACGTTTTCACTGGTGACTCCGTCCATGAGCTCGTCTGTGGCCGCCTTTTGGTCATAGACCAGGCTCGTGGGTGGGGGAGCCCGTTAGGCTCATCACCGTGTAACAGCCAGGCCCTGAGAAGAACGCGCGGCTGGAGCTTTTTCCAAACCCTGCGGACGCAACTCGTCTACAACGAGAACAGTAAGTGATCGGCGGTGATTTTAACTGTCTGATAGAGGAGGACGGGCGCAGTCTCCAGCATGTTACGCTAAACTCGATGCCACCGTGTCGTCGAAACTGCTCCGGGAGGAGATTGCGGAGGCTTCCCTGCAGGACGCCGTGGTATCCGTGGGGCGCGGCTCCGTGAACTACTCATGGAGCAGTCCCGATGGATCTGTGCGTTCCAGGATTGACTTTGTGCTCACCGCCAGGGCAGTCAGGCACCGCGGGTTCTCCATGGTTCCCTGCTTTTTCTCTGACCACAGGGCCATTCACTTTCGGGGAGACCTGGGAGAGGGCTTTGCCCCAGCCCCGGGCTCCTGGAAGCTGAATTGCACCCTGCTGGACGATGAGGAACTGCTAGAGGAGCTCAGGGAAACCTACGGTGCCTGGCAGGAGGAGAAGTCTATTATCTCTCCCAAGGTAAGCGACTGGTGGGAGTTTTTGTGAAAGTCAAGCTGCGCAGCTTCTTTCAGGCCAGGGTACACCAGCAAGTGTGTGCCAGGAGGAGGGAACTCAGGAGACTGCAAGCAGCGTCAGCTGCAGTCCTTGCAGGACCTTCATCTCTGTGGCTGGGACGTGAGGCAAGACCTGGAGGACACCAAGAAGAGCTTGAAAAAGCACTTTGAGGAAAGAATCCAGGCACATTGTCTTCCGTGCCAAGGTGGAGCATCTAGAGAAAGGTGAGAAGTGTAACTCTTTTTCTTTTTCAGGAAACTCCACTCAGGACACACACCCTCTGTCGGGAGCTGCGCGACAAGACCGGAACACTCCAGATGGGGAAGGAGGCCGTGATGGAAGTGGTCAGCGACTTACTACACCGACCTCTACTCCCCCCAAGAAACAAACGCGTCAGCAGCCGACAGATTCTTGTCAGGTTATCTCTAACACGATTGATCCTGCAGGTTTGTCGGCCACCAACGCCCCCTTGACATTTGGAGGAGCTGCACTCTGCCGCTAAATCCTTTAGGCGGGGCAGGACCCCGGGCTGCGACGGTCTCACCCAAGCGGAGCTCTATGTAGCGCTGTGGGACCTCGTGGGCCCGGACCTGCTCGAGCTGTACGAGGAGATGGTGGTGGGGGGCAGGATGCCTCCTTCGTTGAGGAGGGGGATGACACGATCCTGTACAAGCGTAAGGGGGAGAGATGTGACGTGAAAAATTGGCGTCCCATCTCTCTCCTGAACGTGGACTACAAGATCCTTGCCAAAGTTCTGGCGAACAGGCTGAAGGCTGTCATCGGACAGATCATCCACCCGGATCAGACTTATGGCATTCCTTGCCGCAGGATTGCGGACAGCCTAGCGCTTGTCCGGGACACGGTCCAATACAAAATCAAGGACCAAGCCGTGTGCACGCGGCCCTGGTCAGTCCTTGATCAGGAAAAGGCCTTTGACCGTGTCTCCCATTGGGTTTAAATGTGCAGAGCCCCTGCACAGGTTTGGTCTCGGGGAAATGTTTTGTTCCTATGTTGACATTATGTATAACGATATTTGCAGTTTCCGTGCAGGTGAAACGGCTGAAAACTGACTGACCCTTCCCGGTCCTCTCCGGGGTCAGACACAAGGCTGCCCTCTTTCACACTCTGCTTTTTGTTTGCTGTATAGAGCTCTTCACCGATTGCATCAGACGGAATCCAGAGATCGGGGGAATCACCGCACCGGGACCAGACAGACGGGAAGTGAAGTGCTCACTCTACATGGACGACGTGACAGTATTCTGTGCCAACCAGCGCTCCATCGACCTGCTCGTCCAGACCTGCGAGGACTTCGGCCAAGCTTCGGGGCAGAAGTCAACTGCGGGAAGTCCGAAGTCATTCTTCTCTTCGGAAAGTGGTTCCTGCCTTCTTCTGCATCCATGCCCTTTTGGCATCAAGACAGACTTCATGAAAAATTCTGGGAGTTTTGCGGTGGTTTGGTGTCGAGGGCGCAGCCCTGAAAGTCTTGGGCGAGGAGAGACCCTGGCAAAGATGCGACAGAAATTTGGACTTTGGAGCCTCAGAGACCTCACCATCGAAGGGAAGACACTGGGTACTACCGCAGCGAGATTCTCCCTGTGTTGCAGTACCGTACGCCCAGGCCTGGCCCCCATGGGTCAACACCTGTAAGGCCATAACCAGGGCGGTGTTTTTCACTTCATCTGGGGCTCCAAGATGGACAGAGTGAAGCGGGCAGTCATGTTTAAGGAACCCCTCAAGGGCGGTAAGGGCGTGCCCGACATCGCCACCTAACTGAGGGTGTTCTTTGCCTGCAACTGCATCCGCAGAACTTTG